TCAAATTATCCTCGTGTGCAGAGACTCTCTTAGATAACCAGTGAGTACTTTTCCTTCAAAGTTGACCTAAATGTATTCATTTACTGATCATGTCTGCAACGACTCCTAATATGTAATAAACGCTCTTCAATCTACGTTTTCTTGCTACGTTGACCAAACCCTGAGGACTCTGTCAGTGGCTCGCTTAGTTATCTGGGGCTGGGCAAATTTTGAAGGTGATTACTGATGTAATAGCAAAGCGCTTATTTAAGAATTACCCGCTAAATATCAGATTTGCGTCAGTCAAGTAGTATACACATGTTTAGATAAGATAATCTTATACTTAATCGTTGAGCTGAGCACACTTTAAATAGTACTTGTCCCCCCTCGTTCACTGCTAACAACTAGCAGAGGCATTATTTTTAAATGCTCTATTCTCACAATTGGATTGGCGTAATATATGGGTTAAATAAGAGTCCTGATAAGTTGCCAAGATAAATTTCATTTTTATGCATTTTGACTATAATAATTCTATACCCACAGCAAAAATCATTATACTTTTGCTGATTGTGTCGCCGTCGGAACGACTATGAATGAATACGCACTATTTGTTTGTTTATTTAAGTATTTATTTATTTCAAATGGCAGACGTTTTGATAATTATCATTACCCATTTAGCTGACTTCGGGCTTCACAGAGAGGAGGAGGAACATCAAAGGGACAAACGGTCGTGAGAAGTGACGGAATCATGACTCACAGATGTAAAAGCGACAGGCAGACACAGAGGCAGAGAAAAGGTAAGATGAGTACTATGGAATGGGTCGAATATGGCAAACAGTCGGGTCATAGTAGTTTGAAGTCAAAGTCAACTTCAGGCTAATAGACTTTTTTGCCATATGAGTATACGTTGCCCAGAGGGCACCATGTGGAGGTGCGTACCCCCTAAAGATTATGAATGAACGCGCACCATTAAATTGAGCAATCTCATACGTGCTTGAGCATTCTGGGTGATGGTAAGGAGGGGGTGAAGTGGTGCGGTAGTGCGCACAGAGAGCCTCTCATCTAATCAGCCACTAATTTTCATTCAAGTTGCGCTGAATGTATGTAATTACTAAACGTGTTTGCTACGAACATAATTTAAATAAACTCTTTACTCGCTATACGTCTGCTTCCATACCAGGATATTAGCCAATGAGAATGCTGAGGCCAAGTTAAGGCTTATTCGTGTGGCAATCCGTTTAAAAAATGGTACAGAACAAATGTTACCTTTTACGAAAGTGAAGAGCTAAGTTTTAAGGTAAATAATAAGCAATTTTATGAAATAAAATAATTTTAAAATCTTAACAATATTTAATTAATTGCTCATTACATTGCATGCGGCTACTTAAATGGTTTAAGTAACAACTCACGATACTTATAGTCAAGATACTAATCATAACTAAGAGGTGTATCCTCAAAAGAGCAAATGAAATATGGAGTACCTTTAAGCTATGGATGATTTGTTGCCTTATTTTCCTAACTCAATTTTGTCTATTTCTTTTTTAGAATATTATTTATATCTCAAATAAGCTTTCTATCAAATTCATACCCAAACACAACATCGAAAGCAAAATAAGTAAGGGCTTCTAATAGAGTGGACCAATTTAGAATGATTTGAAAGACTTTACATTTTTTAAATGTGTTATTTTTTCTATTTCTGATTTTTTACGCTATAATGTTTACGGTTGTATACAAATATCCCCAATCTCATTACTAAAATATTTTACTTATGAATCATCGGGCATAGTGATACAATGAAATCGGAAGTAGGCTAATGTCGAAACTCCTGGTAAGTCAGGACAGTTTAACCTTAGGGCTTAATTCTGAGCTAAGTTAAAACAAATTTCGCTTAGGTGGATAGTAGGTGGCCGTCATTTTGGTATGATGTTCAATTTCACTCAACTTTGCATTCATGGGTGCTAATTATCCGTCCTCTCACCTTTACCACCCTTATAGCAACTTATGTCCCTTCCATTTAACATTGGACTCCTTGTAGGACAAAATCTGCTATTGTTATTTCTGAGGGTTGATATATCAGATACTCGAACAAGTTGCAATCTACATATCAGACTCAAAAAAAGTAAAATGATATTTGGAACTTTGGATCACTAAGATATAATTATGAACATCAGTTAAAAGAAACTATAGCTTAAAGTGGGATAATAGATAGATATATACCTCTGTCTCTCTTATGCAGTCCTATTTTAGTAAGAATGGCATCAATTCAGTCTTTACTCAGATTGAATACTTGGTTTTTTTGCTATTGATATTGCCAATTTCTTCCTATTAGAATTATAGATCTGTTCAGGTATATTTTGAAGTTAAATGAAAGGTTTCACATAGGTTAAAGAAAGGAGCTTTTGATAATATGCTTAAATGAATGCAAGATCGATCTGCCCAAAGTACTCGAAATGAAATGTGCATAGGAGAGCAACTGCCTTTGCATTAAAGGAAAGGAATTTTCATTCATAGGTACTATTCTTCTCTAAAAAGTGATTAATATTCGTACTTTTCCGGATGATCTTAGTATTGTAGCAAATTGCTACACAAATAAGCCCGATTTATCATCAGTAATCTCTACGCCAAAATATCTTAATATGGATAGGCCCTCGGAAACAGTTTAACTCTCTCAATACTAATGGGAAAGTTGACAAACCGCGAAAAAGAGCTTGTTAAACATATGCTCTCAGTAAACATAATTCACAATTGAATACATCTAACATTACTCGAACGAACTCTCTGTGAAGTCCCCTGCACGCATGGACGCATCCTCCACAATGGTAGGGTGCTCAGTTTAATCGAGTTTAATTTGTAGTGAATTATGACGCTAAGGAACCTTGACTATAGTTGGAATTCTCTATGGCAGATTCCCCTATGTCCGGAAAGGCTACCAGGATCAACTACGTTACCGCAAAGCATTAGAGAAAATGGGCTTATGACTTGGAACATATTCATTTGGGAATGTTCAATCGCAAGTTAGTCATAATGTACACATTCTGGCGTAATAATCACGTAGTGACTTGAGCCATTGATTTGTTTAGTAATCGCTTACTGGTTTTGATGGTTGTTTGGTAGCCCGGGATTTGGTCTTTGGTAGGTAGGTATGATAACCGCGTACTTATTTTGACTGTTGATTAGTCGTCTTGGCTATGGCCATTGATTGGTCGGGAGGCCCCTAGTTTCGTCATGCTAAAGTTGTGTCCCCACAGCTAACATGCAGTGCAAGTGGAGATTTCGTTCACCTTGTACAGTTGACGATGGTATCAATTTCTGCAGTACGTGCAGTACGTCTATAAAAGAAATTCTATCACAGTTTCAGCTCCGGTCGGCTAATGTGGCTAACTGTATAAGATGTCCTAGCCATGAAGGCAAAATACAATAATGTACTTTGATATGAGCTCGACTGCGCCAAACAAATATTCCTATCGAATTAAGAGGAATCGACGTTTAATTATCAATTTGGGTTGATCTCGCAATGATAGTTTTACTATTGGACTAATGCCGTAAAATTTAAATGTGTGTTAAATGTGTAAATTCCCATTTTTTATCGTTGTTCAAAGTTTATTCATTGATTCGAAATTGCCTTTTTCGAAGTAGATAGTATTCGCGCTTATTTACATGGCACTTATATTCACCCCTCCATTTAGTGCCCCCTGAAAATTAATGGTTATCACCGAAATACAAGTTATAATAAAAAAGTATTAGATTTTAGCATTCGTTGTAACTTAGGCATGAAATTTTGTAACTTATGTAAAGGGAAGGTGAGTGGCAATAGCTAATTTATGCAATATGTCTCCAGGTAATGCTCTTGTATTAATTGTCTATCAGGCTCCCATGGGGTGCAAAATGGTCAACTTCACTTAATGCAATGTAGGCCACAAGTATCTCCCTCTCTCTAAAATGATAAATATGATTGAATGTCCTTTAGAGGTTGGAAGGAAGTTATCATTGAGACAAAATGGCTAATTCCTCTCGGCTTTGTACTCTTTAATATCTCGAAGACCTTTCCATAGTCGTAAGAAGTTTATTTTCATTGCATTCTCAGTTGCCTTATTTATGGACTTCTCTTAGCTTACATCTCCTACAGTACACCCATCTTATTTCCCCTCTCATTCTATTGGCACGAATTCCTCTCACCTCAAGATTTTATTTTTAGTCTAAGTTATATACTTGCTGATACTGAAAAACTAAAGTACGCAAGGAACACTATCAGTAAAAACGGACGAATATCTTAGACTTCATGACTCCTCTGTGCGCTTTAATAAAAGGCAGCTTGTATAAGCTACTCACTCGGCTATGTCTATTTGCTTACAAGCTGCAAATTGTATTGTTTACAAGTTTCAACTTCGATGAGCCACGAAGCCAACTACGCACAACCATCAGCAAAATAAGGAAGATCGGGAAGAGACTTTAAGAGAAGAACAAAATCACTCGATTTTTGGCCAACAAAGATGTTACGACGAGGTGAATAAAACAGCTATAAAACAACTTTGCCCAAGTTTAAAATACCCAGTTTTCAAGAATAGCATCGTCTGTCATATCGGAGTGCGCGATAGACACGCACCCACGACCCGACTGTATGCAATATTCGATCACTTACACGGTACTCATCTTACCTTCTTCCCTATCTTCGTGTATCTCTTTTACATCAGTGAATCAACCTTCTGTTCCTCCTCTCTGTGAAGCCCGAAGTCAACAAAAGGGCTATGACAGCTAACATAGTCTGCCATTCGTTATTAAATAAGGTCATGACCAAAACTCAATATATTGCTCAAATCTATTTAAGTAGATAGTTTTGGGAGAATAAAAGCAAAATACTTGGAGACCGACAGCACGATACTAGTACAAGGATGTTCCGATCAGGTGAAAATTCTAAACACCGAAGTGGGATTCCATCGAAAAAAAAACATTAGAACAACCAGCACTATCACAATTAGTTAAAGTGCTAATGTATCATCTCACAAAATCAATGGTAAACCATTTCAATTCAACAAGCAACCTCCAAGGTAACGATTTCGAAACCAATTTAGCCCAAGGAAGAAAGAAATTATTTCAAGTATACAAACGACTTTTATTATACTTCTTGAAATCCATCCGAAGCGAATGCACATTAGCTTGAGAGAGACTAGAGAGAAATGATTACATTGAATTATACATCTTACCATAATCGCGTTGACAATATCTTTGTCATTCTTTAGCAAAGCATTTATTGCTTTGGCTCGGGAAACATTTGCTTGAGTCATAATAAGCTCAACGTCTTTATCCTCAATCCCAGATGGGTCACCAATGATTTCTTCGTCATCTTCAAGTTCAGCGATGGCTGTCTTAGCAACTGAGTCACCTTCCTTGGCTGGCTTATTTTCCTTAGCAGCGTTAGCAAGAGTCTGAGATCTTAGCTTTTCAACGGCAGCAGCCTGTGCTTGTGTTGACATATCCTCGATTTTTGCTTCACCAAAGATAATGTAGGTATCAATATTTGGGGCCTTATAGACTTCGGCGTTGCTGATGACAAACATGATTGCCTTGGCTTTGCGAATAGTAACACGACAAATACCAGGCACAAGCTTCAAATTCAACTTTGCCATAGCCTTGCGAGCCTTCTTTTCACCACGGGATTGTTTGCTAGAGCCATAATCGAAGGCATCACCCTTTTTATCCTCGTGAGTATCTTCGGAATCAGAGCTCGAGGACGAAGCTGCCACCTTCTTTTCAGCTGCGTCAGGCTTCTTTTCAGAAACGTCAGACTTCTTTTCAGCTGCATCAGATTTCATATCAGTTGCTTTCTTTTGAGCCTTCTTGCCATTAGCTGCCATTTCTTAAAGGAAGTAAGAGAAAACAATAAAATCTCAATCCTATCACGACAGACACACTTTCAAAGCCGCGCAAGTGGTGCAGAGATAAGAGGACTTAAACAATACTTCAGTAGCATCTATTTTATAATTAAAAGCATAGAAAACCTAAAATTTTACCAAATTTCGTCTTATTTCTAAATTTAAAACGAAGGAAATGACTGTAGTTTAGTTGTTAGTTTTTTTACTTGTGTCACTAACATATTAATACCACGATATTTGAATACAAAGTATGTACATAACTAATGCATTTGTGCTATATTTAATGGAATTTATCCGGAATTGTCTTAATTTAGGAAGCTGAATGCGTAATATATCATATTCTGCAATTTTTTAAATAAAATACTCAAATATACCTGATAAATCGAATTTCTTGTGACTGAAAACTTTTATTAAATCGAAGGTGTGGATACGGTTATGGGAGATTTTCAACTCTGCTCAAAGCATATAAATATTTGTATAATTTTCATAGCTTACTTATATTCCATTTTGGTATAACCCACGGATCAAAACTAAAATAGTTTCTTAACCTTTTCTTTGATATTAAGCATGGGACTGCAATATTATCATTTTTGCCAAAGGTTAGGTTCGACAGTCCAAGAATAAAACTGGTTTAATGTATGGTTTGCCATCTCCAAATCAAGTCCTATGTTCTTAAGTCCCCAATTACCATAAGTTGCTTTTTCCTTATACTAAATTTTTCGATTTAATTTCTTTCAAAACTTTATGGAACGAAATTCGTTTGTCATTTCTTTGCTCCATATATATGTAATTTTAAATATTCTGCTGAAAACGAACTCGTAGGAAATTGATATCACTTTACACACTTTCAGAGGTTTGTCCACATTCGTGGAAATATATAATTTTTCATTTTTGAGTACAGAAATATTGAATACTATATTGATTTCGATATTAGAAAAGTTATATTATTTAATTAAGAATTTCTTGATCTGTTTAAATCTTTATTTTATTTCTAATGCAAGAAAATTGGCATATTTGGTAAAAATTAATAATCCATAAGTTTGTTTTTATGATAAAGCATCAGTGGTATCGAAGGTGACATGAGTCCATGTAAAATTTTTTTGTAAATTGTCAATGCCATTAATAGATTTTGATTCCGGGGTCAAGCCGAAAAGAGCTCAATGCAAAGTACATCATTTATTAAATAATTACGTTTTATAAATTTATTTTTAATCAGTTTCCCTGGGAAGAGAATTTGCCTAATAGGAGACAAGATGCTGAGAGCAACGAAAGCGTAGAAAATAGTTCACTTTTCCAATACAATGTTAAAAATCCAATGGAAAACTTTAATGAAACTGGTTTTGGCGCAGAATCCAATCGGCATAGAAGAGCGATAGATTATAGAAGATCAAGAAATCATAAACACTCGGATTTTCCGAAATCTAAAGTATCTACCGGTATTAAATTTGCTTGCCCTCGAAGTTGAAATTAACTCTTTTTTGAAATATGTTATTTTCTCTTTTTATCTAAAAGGCGACATTACGGAATTTAGAAATGCTTCGCCATCTAAAGTTCCTTCAATATGTCTAAAAATATTTGCTTTTATATTCGTTTAAAAGGATAATTCGTGTTGAAAGTAAATTGGCGAGCTGAATTCTGGTTTCATGCACTTACGCTGTTTAATGTATCTACATAATATTCCAGGCAGTCATTTTCAAAACTATTTTAAGCCAAGATTGATTGAAGCCATGTTTTTAGAACTAGGTATAATTTCGTGATATTTTAATTCAAAGTAAGGAGAAAATGCGAGATCATTTGGAAATGTTATGATTCTTTTATAAACGTTGAAAATTATCTGCATATTCTTTGAATATTCTTAGAACATTGACGTAAATATTCATGGACATTGCAATTTAAACAGCTCTTAAATGAGTCTATTAGATATTTACTCTTGATTAAAACAATAACGTATCGTCAGTAACTCGTTTATTTACAAAATATTTCGATTTTCTGTAGAGTTTAAGTGAACCGTTGAGAAATTCACCCCCCGCAATACCATTAACAACACGGCGACCACTTCGACAGATCCAATTAACTTGTGATGGCAAGTTTCGAGCCAATACTCCACCAAGCTGGTTTCAAAATAAGAGAACACAGACGGATTTATCTTCTTTGACAGGGAAAAGATTATCATTTACCGACAGGTATTAAGTGGAACAATACTCATGATCTATTCTAGTTTCATATAGCATCTGAACTTTTTGTTAAAAAGTGAATCAGAAGTAATTTTATTAGAAATAGGAAAAAAGCAATACTTTTCATTTTCGACAATGATAAGTATTTTCTATATTTTGGGGAGTTTAAAGATGAGTAAGTATTAAAATAAACTAATTTACCTAGCTGAACCTATTTAATTTTAGTGAAGAGACGCACAGCATAACGTCGGCTCCAAATAGACCAACTACGCCAAACAGCGAACTACTTCATGTCAAAAGAAACTCCGGAGAAATGGTCGGGAAAACACCATTAGCAAAACAGCGCTATGAAATGCCGGTGAGTGGTTTAAAACATTTTTTTCAATGTAAGGTGTGGCGCAATATACAAACTTAGTACAAGCTTATTTACAAACTTGGTTTCAGCAGGACAATCAGTCTTCTTACACAGCTTGGAAACTAAGCAAACTTCAGCAAGAGCTTGATAAGTTATGTTTTCGAATGGACAAAACAGAGGACCAGCTTTCTTTAGCTTTACGATCGATCGAAGTAAGATCTAAAGCGTAGTTTTAGTTGCTATTATATTGATATGTTAATTAAATAATTGTATCATAATTGCAGAAAATTGGTGACTTCATGCGGAAAGCCCTCTCAAAATCCGAACTGAAAACGGAATCAGATACATAAGCCTCTGGACGAAAAACATGAAGTTTTAATTGAGTTAAAAGATTAATTTTGCGCATTGTATGCCCTTAGGATAACGTTTACAAACTCAATATTCTGTACATCCTATTTCTGACTAATATGTAGTTTCTTTCTTTGAAACAAATTTTCAAGATTATTTCAATTAAAATCAATATAATTTTGATAAAACGTTAGCTTTTCACTAGTTTAATGTCTATATTGAAGGAAATAGTTTCTGCGCATTTAATTGATATCGAACGGATTCATAAAAAAATCGGTTTTTCTAATAATGTCATTCGATTGGGGTTACTAAGGTAAAAGTTAAGTCACGCATCTCCCTTGTCACACTCGGAGGTGGCCGAAAAACCAATAAAAGTTATTGATAAAGTAAGTTGACATGCTAACTAGGCTTATGTTGACGTCAGTCTTATCCCATCATCGATATTTTTGTATGGTGATTGACATCTATTAAACGGTCTGTATTCAAGCACGGGTACAGCTGGATCGTTTATTAGTAATTAAATCGAATTATGATTTCTCTCAAAACTTTTTAAACCCCTGTTGATGATAGACCACAGGTAGTCATTGTAGGGAGCAAAAGATTTGTCAACCCAAGTAAACAACGTAAAGCAAACCTAATAAGAGAAAGTGGTAAGTGACCAAAAAAGCAGACTGCTACATTTCAAAATGAAGCGTTGTTTAAATAAAATGGCAGCGAAAGGCAAGCAAAACTTAATTCATCAAAGGATCTGAATCTGAATATCAATCGAAAAACAGTTGTCTTAATTTTAAATACAAATCGTGGTTATTTTCTAAATATTTGGCTATCAACTGGAAGTCTTGAAGAAGGTTAGTAATCATTAGGATGATTTTAGTTCTCCAACATTAACACAATATCAAATGTAGCATTTAAGAGCACAGTCTTGTTCGTCATACCTGAAACATATTGCTAAATACCTCTTGAAGAAAGCTGAAAAATCATTTTTGGAATGAAGTACTAGTACTATGTTTTCATCACTCACGGTTTATTCAATTTTAGGCTAAATTAATAGCTACCGACTTATAGAAAATTTTATTGCAAATAAATATTTAAAATGGCTCCCAGTCTGTTTTGTTTGGGGAAATGTTTAACTATTTAGAACATGATAACTACTTTAAGTATTTAAACTATTTGTCACTTACGGGTTTTAAAACGTCCCAGAACTATTTGGAACACGAGTTCGTTCCATAAATGTATATTATTAGGTTATTAGATAGATATTATCATATCTTAAATCTCTATTGAAGATTTTTAAGTTAATTTGAATTATTAAAAGTCTATAAATATATTTTTAGATAAAGCAATTACTTCTCACTTATGTATTTATGTAGTATTTCAGAAGTATCTCATAATTACTTAAATTATATTTAAAATATTGGATTAAATGCGCTAGCTTATTACTTTATATCTTATCATCTTCTGCATTTGTTTTGCGAGTATAGAAACATTTACTTGGATTGAAGGACATGCTGTGCTTGACATATATATAAATTAACGAATCAGCATAGCACTTAACTCGTGGTTCGGATTTTGTTGCTTAACTAAATATTACTGTATGTGTTCTATTCTAACAACAAACTAGTAAAAGAAAAGCTATAATATACAATCACGTAACTATTCGAACGTTGTAATTTTTGAATATACTAAATCCAAGGCATATTGCACTAATATCCATCAACCTCTTTTACGTATTGAAAATAGTTATCCTTATTATATTTCACATTATCATTACGCTTCCTTATTATATTTATTATATTGGCTTTAAGTGGCTTCTTTATCAACTAATCGTTGTCAGTGATGCAACTTCACCGTTTATTTTCTTTTTAAGTAAAAATTTACGCCTATTGAACAATGACAACTAATAATGGTGATACCTATAATGACATTTCCGGAGATCCCTTCAATACTGCTGAAGAAGTGCCATGTATGGATGCTGTCTCCCCGAATCAATTAGAAGAAGTAAACCATCTAAAGTCGTATATTTTAAATCGTATTCGTCGCCATTGTGCCAAAACTCTCATGGGACCATGGGCCAATCCGCAGAATATCGATATTGTGGAAGTAGGGTGAGATTTTGAACGCCTTATGTTTTGACTCAAGCTGCTTTTCATCCAAACGATTGGATCTCATTTTCAATTTGATAAATCAGACAGTCAATCCCATATTAGCTCCACGACGCTAACAAAATATAAAATAAAGCACATTTTCTGTTATCTTTATAGGGGTGGCCTAAGTAACTATCTCTACAAGGCTCAATTGAAACCCGAAGCTATAGATTCAAGCTGCTCAGTACCAAAGGAAGTCTTTATTCGTGTCTACGGTGAGTTGCTACGTAGCAACATGAATTCTGTGATCCTCGACGCTGTACTCTTTGCTCTTCTTTCTGAAAAGCGACTTGGACCTAAACTATTTGGTGTTTTCCCCGGAGGCAGAATTGAAGAATTTGTTGAAGTTAGTTATTTCATGTATTATTTATCCTCCATTAGTTTTGTGCAATCTATTAACCACTTTATAGGAATAATCAAAATTTTCTGTGTCATAAATGCAAAATAAAAGGTGAAAACTGATGAGAGTGGCATTCGTAGACGAACTCCTTTATATTAACACTTGTATGCACGTTTAGATTGGTACATTATATTTACTTAGTTATCAATCGATGTTCCTCCCACTCATACCGCTGAAAACCTCTATGGTATCATCTATCATTCCATCTCGACTACTATTGATCTCCAAATAATGTTTGCGCGCACCGTTTGTTCACTCGCTGAAGCATTGTACATGTTGACAGCTGGTATTTTCGTCTCCCATTTTTCAACAAATTTCTCTCCCCTTGTCCTTTAACCAGCCTTCATATTTAATTATACGATGCATCATGAATATTGATATAATGCAGCTTTCAAGATTAGCTCTAAAACAGAGTGGCCTTTCTTCTTAGTAGTCGAACTTAAAGCAATCGTTTCTTGTCATTCTACTTTTTGTTTGTATATGTATTTTTGTAGCTTTCTGCTTTTAATCTTGAGTTTTAGGGGGATTCATTTACAAAAATAGTCACCATTAGCGATAATCGCCATTTGGGCAGCTTAGGATTTGATTAACATTTTCTTACTTAACCCTCGACCTTTGACTTGATAGATGCGTGTGTTTTGCCATAAGGAAATTCAATCTAAGTAGGGTAATAATTTACCCCTTCTGACATGTATAGGTTTTAGCGGAAGGGGTGGGGGTTGAACTGTACGTACTGTAATGTGTAGATATTGACCATGCTTTTGACCATGGGATGCAATATGTTTATTACAGCAACTTTTTATAATGCTTCCGCCCTCATTACCAATTTTGGTATCTTCGGGATTTAATTTATTTCGAACTTTTTATTGGAGAAATGGGAAATTAAATTTTCATATAATTGTGCTCGAATCAATATTAAATTTTGTTATTATCACTACTATTACACGAAGCACTAGTGCAATTTATAAACATTTGCTCGAGAGATAAGTGAATAGACCAATAAAAGGAGGACGATCGGGTTGGGGAGGAGGGCGATACAATAGCTAATGAAGTCGGAACACAGTGCATTTTATTTTATTTGATTTCTAGAAGCCTTCTTATATCAGATATAATTGAACTAATTCGATTTTATTCACTTGCGTCTTCTTACGGCTACTAACAAAAGATTAACTATCAAAAAATTTTAATAATCGCTTTCATTGTTCTTTTCTCATGACGTAAATTATCGATATTTAATTTTTAATGGCCATTTTGAGCACTTACCTGGAGGGTTTGCCTTCTATGTATTTGCCCTAAGTTAATAGTTTAGTATCAGTTCTAACTTTAGGTTCACTTGCTTTGGAAACAGTTCAATTATTCACTTCTTTTCTTAAGTCGTCCCCTTTCAGAATCAACACGATTTTACACTTCCAACCAGATTTCAACCTATACCTTTTAACTGAAATTATTACTCCTGATTAACTCTTTGATCTCTGCCATATGTCTACTCTGAAGAAAGTTTTTTTCTTGGTATCTTTATAAACGGTCACTCGGCCCTTATCTTTCATGTTTTAGCTCCGTATTTGAACAGTTAAGATGTAGATATCACATTCGTTGTGCCAACTTTTTACTTTCAGCCTCTCTAAAGCCCCCTCCAATTTTCTCTCAAATTTTAAACGTTCTCTGTATGACGCATCATTTGCCAGTTTCTTCTATTTGGCCAACATACGAACTTGAAACTCGCGCAATAGCATGGCATCAGTGGCCATTTGTTTATGTTACACTACTGCAAAAGACCCCATGACTGTTGAACTCCAAACAGGTCAAGATGAACACGCGACAGCTGATTTCGTCTTGATACTGTTTACAAAGCGTGTGGTTAACTTTATGTGCTAACTATCTACTGGAGAAAGTCGCCTCTCGTTATGGGTGCGTGCGAACCCACTTAGTACTTATTTTGGCGCCATTAACATTGTACTCTTGTGGCAAGTTATATAAACGTGTTAGGTTCGCATAATTTTCCGAATTGTATATTGGATTTAGTTAGCTGTTAGCTTATGTCAAAAGGAGCCCTGTTGACTCTTTTCTGGAATGAATAAGTAAAAGGTTATGGCTATGAAACGGGTATTTAACCTACGATCAACCAAAAGACCCCGAAAATATTACCATTAACTTCTGAGTTCTTGCTAATTTATTCTCTCATCCCTGCTTTAAGCAATATGGTTGCTATAGGAAAAATCCTTTTGCTGTTCTAAACAACTTTTGGCACATTAGACCTCTTCCCCTCCTTAGAAACGAATTTCTTACATTTCCTAAATCCTAATTAATGAATTTATGCGCATGGGATAATTAGAGCAACTGCACCTTGTCTAGTCTCGTAAGAGATGCCAAATTTAGATTTTTGAATACTTATATTTCGAATATTTCAGTGTCTGATAGGGCAGTTATACACAAATTTATGTCCCCTTTCTGTGAGTTTTGTTAAAAATAGCCCTTGTTTTGTTTTATTATTTGGAACTGTAGGAAAATAGGAAATAAAGTCTCTTATCTTCCACCGACAAGATTGATAACTTTCGTAGATGTAAATTCTCTTCATTAATTTCTTTCATTCACCCTCTCAATCGGAAGTAAATATTTATCAACGAATGCGAGGTCATCTATTTCCAATGTTTATGCTCGACTGGCGTTGACAACTGACTAACTGCAATTATATTTTAAGGTAACTTAGCCAACTTACTCGTGCAATTTACGCTATCAGTATTGGTCATAAATTTTAGGTGCTATTCGGTTTTATTTACTACAAATTCAAAGCTAATACCAGCCAACAACGTCAGTAGAGGTATGATCACACAATCACAAACATGTACTAGTTGGCGTTTGGCCTTTCCTCTGCTTGAAAAAGATTTAGAAGTGATTTACGAGGCTTGCAATTAAAAGGAGTCTCTCTCTCTCTCCCTAGGGACCAAATTTTGGGAATTCTATTTTTCTCTCGCCAATAATGCACCGTTGAAAAGTGCATAACTTCCTGCTCAATAAGCACCTTTGACACTAATTTTCAATGCGTGATTCTGAGAGAATTGAATTAGTAAATTTTGAAGCTATATTTTAGTGTGAAATCATAGGTTGTTGAAGGAGTTTGTTGGCTTCTACGATAGACGCCAAACACTTATCACCTGTTTCACGTGAAGTACTTATTCCAAAACACGGAAGAAGTGCTGTCATAAACTTAAAGTTGCAGATGACTTCTATTTTAAAACTATGAGATTACATTAATAAAATAACGATTTTTTAAGCTGCAGTTGCTCCACACCAGGCAGTTTCCTATCTCTATCTCTTTAATCATCCTGGTTAGCCAGTAATGTGTGAAGATTGAATTTCCTCGTCCAGAAGTAGTAAACCAATAATTGGTTATCCTATTCACGAATGACAATTTTTTAAAAATTATGTTCAATTTGATTTGGTTTTCTAACGAGCTTATAATTTTCACTCTGTACATTAGTGTTCCACCAGAGTTTGAATTTAAGAGTTGACCTTTCTCTTCTCAACGCCTCTTTTATTTGCGCTTTCGTTTTGTTCACAATTGTTTAGAGTAAATCGAATGTCATGACTATTTCTTCAGTACGACGCTGAGGTAAGTTAAGAATTTGTTTTGGGCTGGGAGTAGGGCTACTAACTCAATAAAGAACATGTTTTGAATAAATACTGACATGCTTACGGCGGTGTAGGCTTACTGTTAGGCTAAAAATTTGGCTCTAGCCTGTGAGAGAATGTTTTAAAAGGACACGAAAGTAGATTTGTCCTAAACGTATAAATTACGAATACGTTAATTGCAGGACTTGGGGTAGTGTTAAAGTTCAGTTTTCGCCGATGTTGTCTAAATACTCATTAGATCTTATTATAGTTGATTCAGACTCGGAGGTAACGGGTGAGTATAGGATAGGAGCGTATTTGTACCCATTTGATTGCTTAACCTTTCGTTATTGTCACTCATCAACCTTGCACAAGAAAAAACGCCTGCTTTTTAACTTCAATCCACGCAACCGCGATTTCAAACTCTTGAACATCTGGAGGTACATACGTATGCAGTGTTTCTTATTATCTACCTCCCCCCCTTACTTTGTTGTTGAGATACCAAAAGCACTTTCTATGCCAATACGACTGAAATAACTCCAAATCTTGCTATGTTGTATCGGTGCTTCGAGAAAATTTGACCTCGATTGTAAACTATGCACATTTTCACAATTTGTTGTTTATCACCTCTCACTCATATTTTTTTCACATCATTGCAATCTCCTCACAACACTCACCTATTTTAATTCCGTTTACTCTCTCACATAATGCCAATGTAACTCTTAGATTGATGGTTTCTGATTTTATTTTTCTTTTGTAGATTGTTGGGGGGGGGGGGTTGTACTTTGTCGGCTAGCACTTCACAAATCCTTATTATCACTCAATTGACTGGAGATATTTTTTGATGCATAATGTATTAGGACATCCATTCACCTTGAGTAAATACTTCTTATTGGACTCTGCTATGGTATGATCATGTAAGCTGCTTAAATTATTGTTGTGCTAACCCGACGGATGAAAAATGATGAATTGATGTAGCAAGGCAGAACACATATCATGGATAAAAATTGGGTCAGTTATTTATATGATTAATTATGATATTGAAATTTGGCAACTTGAACTTGCTTGTTAAATAGGTAGTTTACAACCAGATTCAAAATATCAAATGAATAAAAACTCCTTAAATATACCCATCGATATCTTTTCCATCGCCCTTTCTTTATCATTTATTGGACCTACTGTCAGTTGTTTTCTATCATGAAAATCTTTGTAATATTTTGTCTTGGTGTGGAATATGACAATTTTATAATAATATGGTATGATATTTGAATCGCATACTTTTAATCAACTCATGTGAATCATTCCACTACTGGTGACTTTAAATCTAGTTTTTTTTCCATATCTTGCCTAGTTTCGTTAAGCTAAAACCGCCTTAGTTACTATGAGCTCACAACTAGAATTCGAAGATAGAACTTTGGAATATTAGAATTTGGAGTAGGGACCCCTAGTCATTGAAGTGAATGTAGTCAGTTTGGTAAATCAAGAATTCAAATGAAGTAGGACTTTCCCAAATTTATTCCGGTTCCTCATCCCTGCGCCTTTTATTGAATGGGGGCATTAAATGGAGATACTATAGTGGAAAGCTTAAATATAGTTAGTTAACCTTTCCCAAATCCAACCTTTATCTCCTTCTGCTTTTATCAGGGCGTTGTCCCCTTATCCTGTTGAAATTGATGGGCTTCCAATCGTAGCAACAGCTGATTTTATACGCATCGTTTCCTGAGCATGCACACATTATATATAGCCCCATCCTTAAAGCAACCCCCCCCCCACCTCCTCCTCCTCTACTCTCACTGTTGCGCGCAAGTGTTTAATGTATGCCCCTAGTTTTAAGCCCACCGAATATCGCTTGCTGCTTGCTTCTCCTTGCACGTTGGCCTAGATTGGCACTGACACCTGCCTGAGTCCAAAAGGGGTAGAAGAGGTAGAACAAATTTTGTAATACTTTTACCTTTGTAATTGGTCGGCGGTTTATCCGTAGTTTAGATCAGGTACTACATGGGTGTGAATTCCTGATAAGCTAGTCTTATCTTTTTATGAATTCTTCTAGTTGACCCTCCCCCCACCCATAAAGCTATTTTAATGCGCTGCTCAACTAACGCACTTACATAAGCTTCTATGAGCATATCTCTAATAAGAGATGAGGAAGATGGCGACTGTGTCATGATTATCTGCAATGTAGAAAGCAGTTTTGAAATGGTCTAGCGCAGAATAACACAATCTTGTCAAACTGTTGACTTTCTAAACCATTTCGAACTTAAACTCACAATCGCAGATGGATAACACACCTCTTCTGTGCTAAAAAGTGCCTAAGGAGATCATAAAAAGGCCCAGCATATGGGAATTCGATAATTCCTATAAATGGATAAACAACAGTAGGTAAATTGAAAGTTCGCCTCGTTGGCATAATAAAGTTTCTCTCATAGAAATTACGGATATTTATTAATACCTGTTTATTAGTAGAGATAGAAGGTAGTAAACCATTAGGACAGGTGGTTGCATAGTTATAATTGAGAGGGAATAGTTTGAGGAAGGGAGCGGACATTTGGCTCATGAGATTCTGAGAAATTTCTTATTTTCCCCTACATCTGAAGAATATATACTGCTGTTTTTTTTCAAAAGGAACATTTGAAGAGACTCCCATTGAATCTGGTGTCAATATTAATGATGATTCATTAATAAGATCCAAAATACCAAAATCGCACATCTTCGAGATGTTTTAAGAGTCAATGCTAATCGCTTTGGAGGGCGTTGTGTTAGATATCGGCTTGCATTCATATTCGACCTCGTTTTCTAACATTTCAGAAACAATTTTTAGTTAGAATGAGTAAAAGAAAACACTAATCCGGGGCTAAGTAAGCGTTTTTAGTAAACCATTTATAAAATGTGCCAGTTTAATGCACATAATTTCGAATCTAAGGAAAGGAACAATCAACCACTTTATTTCTTACCAGAAAGTTTTTACTACCAAAACTTCCTGTTTGTCATCTGGTACTGTCGTTAATGTCCAATTATCAGTCTTTTTTCACTTATTATTTGGATACACTTATGTGTTCGAGATTTTACCAATCAAAAATGCTGTGTCTAAACTTTCCTCTAGTATGCCCTCCGTTTATTTATCTATGAGTTATTGTCATCGTTGACGCGTAAGGTCAATCCGATATCTGCTTTCTCATATTATTTGTGTCTCATTCCATTTAGCCATCAGATGATCATTTGTTGATCGGTCATGTGACCATATTTGAACCACCCATATGTGGTATGCCATGTCCTTTATTTATATCCCTTTTAAGTAAGTTACTGAATATTCTAGCTATTAGTGATTGACTTCTCTAAAGAGATAACTTCTGGACAAGAATTCCGAAGCTTTGGGATGCCAATTTTTATTCTATAATCAATCTATCTCTTTCATTTATGGCTTGAATGTCGTTCTCTTCTGCTTTATTTCATCTTCGAGTTTATGTGCTTATACTTTGTTCAACATTTAATCGTGATGGTCGAGAAAATCGGTGCAGGGGGAGCATGAATAAACCTTAATTTGAATAAACATGTTGCACCCATGGCCTCAAGCAGGAATACAGACTTGAATTGTGAAGCATTTTAAAAGGACTTGATAAAGTTCCACTTTAAACACAACTGTACATCAGGTGAATAACGGCTCGCCTTTTTTCTTCTCTAAGTCGCCTGGTGGATTATGTTACCTTCCCTCCTGTTGAAATGTTGTATCACTAGAAAAAATTAGTGGATTTCAGTATTTGTTAAACGTGTTAGTTTTTCTCTCAATATGATGCTGGAAGTATTTTTTATATTTTTTGCTGCACTGAGCATTGATTAGGATGCAGGAACAGTGTTTGACATACCTTGTCTCAAACTTATCTTATTTAACGGATTTCTTTGACAGCTATGGGAAATCGAAATCCCCAACTTGTCCAATTTTGTACTTTCCATAGTGCGAAATAAGCCCCTTTATAAATTCGTTAGCGCCTTAGGAGCTTAGAATTTAACCACTGTCATGGATTTCTGGTGCATCATCCATTGAGTTATAGCTGTTACTTTAAGGTTCTCACTTTCAAGTACTTTTGGTATGTACCCATCCATTTTGTGATTCTTTTTAAATCTATTATTCCATTTTTTAACCAAAATTATTATATTTATTAAGTAAAGTCTATTCTTTGGTCTAGTTGAGTTACCCTGCTCCCTTTCAAGTTTATGAGTTACGTCAAAGGTAAAAATTCGCTCAATCTTGGTCGCCAGGTTTGACCAATGAGGGTGCAAAGATCTTATAACTCTCATTTCATTGGATATTACTTTCGGGATAAACATATTGCTCTTACTCTCGTTTTTGGCACAAATCGCTTTGTCCTCTTTTTTACTTCTCCAAATATTTTTTTTTCAAATTCTATGCAGTGTATATTCCTGTTATTTTTCTTTCCTCTTTCCATCGCCCACTTCTGGCTCAAATAGTAACGAATTAAAAATGATTTATTAATAATTCAAGCTCTCATTATCGTAATCAGATAGTTATGTATATATATGATATGATGATGATATATGATGTCTTATGATTTGGGTTTATTATTTGCGACTTTTAAGCTTGAAAAAAATATTTTAAAAATTAGTGAAATTATAATCAGTCTTCTTATATAATAGGGTTACGAAAATAGCATTCATTCATTTAAAAGGGCAGGCGTTTTAATAGTTATCATTATCCCTTTAGCTGACTTAAGGCTTCACAGAGGGGAGGAACATCAAAGTGAGAAGAGATCGAAAGGTGAGGGAACAGAAGAGTGATTCACATTTGTAAAAGAGAAAAAAAAGTAAGGTGAGTACCGTGGAAGTGGTGGAGAATGACATACACTGGGGTCATGATAGTTTGAAGTGGGAAATCAACTGCGGTTAACAGACTTTATTGGTGTATGAGTATACGTTGCCCAGGGTGCACCACGTGGAGGTAAGTCTATCGCACACCCCATGAAAATAACATGGAGTTTCGTTCAATATTGAAATGAGCCCTAAGCATTCTCTTGTAGCTTTTTCAAGCGACTGGAGACCCCACAATGGCATTTGCGGCATTAGGCTCTCCGTAGCAGTTCTTAAGACTCTTTTGTTTCTATTCGAGTCTAAACTTCGCTATCTTTCGAATTTTGCCCAACTCATTTGTGAAAGTTTAACTTACCTTCAACTACTACTAATTCATTCCTCGGTGTCTGCATGTGCAACACAGTTAGAATGGTGAAGGGAAATTCTTATCTTTTTGTAGTAGCTGGAGTTTACACTAGTTGGTACCTAATAAGGTCATATAGTAGTTGCTTCTCTTCGTGTCACTAAAAAGTTACCTCGTGTAGGTTTTTTTTCTTCTGGGGGATATTGCATTGAAATGCCTTGCTTTTAAACGCACTTTGCGATCTCCAAACTGTATACGGTACACCTAATGATAATGGTTACTACCCCGTCAGACTATTTTTTCACTTACCTGATCATATGTTTGAGTATTACCGGGGTCTTCCGAAAATCCTCCCAGGACGGTTAAACGGAAAACCCCATTTCATGATATCATTTTTTTCGGGCGCTTAGTCGTGTGGGTGAACTTTCGGAAAACCCCCGGTACTTATAAAGTATGCTAAGTGAAGGCTATTTAAAGACCTAAGAAAATACACACGTGAACCTCAATTATGCGGTGGCTTTTAAATTATTTAAGTCCTCCGATATACCAATGTGATATGGTTCATAGTGTCAGCTTACTCATTAATGTTAACTTCGGGGGGTGGGGAGTTGGAGCCAATGATTAACCGGTGAAATGAAATAGGTATTCACGCACAGATGCTCCGAAACAACCGCTTCGGGTAATTCGATAACTTCGCCCAGTTCTGATTTACCTCTCTTATACGAATAGTCATGGAAAGACTAATGGCAATTTCTTAATTCTTCTCTTTTTTTTCTTAACTCCTTTGCGCATCATATTGGTGGATTTTTAGGCTGAGAGGAATGATGATTATTTTATTTGTGTTTTAGTCACGAACACTGAAGAGGGAAGAACTGTCCATTCCTTCAGTTCGAGACTGTGTCGCATTGCACATGGGTGGTTTGCACAGCCTGACGCTTCCTCTTCCTAAGATGCCCACATTTCTCTTCAAGACCCTGGCAAAATTCCTCCAACAGTTGACCGGTACTCGTCAGCCCCCTGTACGGCGACCGCATTCTTGTACTCCGACGGCTACAGAAGGTGGTGGAGGAGGCGGTGGGGGAGAACAAGATGCTGGATTGCCAGATGATGTTCTCTTCAGCCCCCAGCCGGGCTCACTTGCCACCTCCCAACTCTTTGGCTCTACGTCTTCCATTTGCTCGGTTCATGAGACCCAACCGCATCTTTTCAAATTTGTCAATGATTGGCGGCTTGTGGAAGAGTTTGAATGGCTTAGGTTAGTACTTTTGTTTGACTTTGGCTAATCGAAAGTGGGAAAAAAATGTTGTCCAGAAGTCGTGATTTCGATCCTCATCGATTCATGTTCCATGGTGTGTTTTTTCCGTTTCTGTTGAAGAAGAGGAGTGGAAAAGTACAAATTTATCTTAAGAAAAACGCAGGGGTGTCTACTCTTGATAGTAGGCAATCAGACAATTGTTTAGAGTGATTGGCAGTATAAGTGGGAAAACTTAACTGTCATTTCGAAAAGATTTATGCTAAATCAACTCTATTTTAGGTTACCTAAGAGAAAGCATGCTGAATGAACGGTGACTGCACTTTATCAAGCTCATTTTTTGTTGGTCGTTCAGTGAATGGTGTTTTTCTGACTATACTCTGGAATCCTTTTAATTTTAATCATTGGCGATATGTCTTTGTGTCCCCCTGGTGGGTTCTAATGCGTTACAACAGCACATTGTATTGCAACGTATTTAAATCTATGCACCTGTATGCATGTGTTAACCAGCTAAGTAGTATCAGGTATCTTAGTGCCAAGATTCATTCAAATTGTAGATCACTCAATCTCAGTCAAAAAAGTTCCTAATCACAATATCACTTTGAAATTTATTATTTAATAGTTCTCGTGTCTATTGATTTTGACCAGTTTCGCATCTGCAAAAGTTGCACAATTTTTTGCTTTTGCCCACTACCACCAGTCGAGATAAAAAGCGCAACTTCTTTGAAAGTAGTGTGGGCCATATTGAAGTTCCAAGCATGTGTCATATCAATGCATTTTTACTGGACTTACGTTGGCATAAACTTAATATATATTGGAAAGGTTAATATCTACCTTTATGCGGTTTTGGAAGGGAATCTAATTTATTGTTTCTATTGCGCATTTGAATTCGCCAACCTGCAGCGCTATTGTTAAATGAATCCATTAAGTTCCATATCTATTGACTTATCTATTTTATACCTGTGTACTTTCCAACTTAGCCCTCATATAAAATATGCGTATATCCTGTGGACCTCATAATATACTTACTGTGTTTGTGGTGACTGTGTTGAAGTAAGCGAGCTTCCTGTCTCTTCCTTAAATTTTATGTCTCTTATGCTGTGATATACAATGCAGTAGAATATGACTTTTTAACCGAAAGTGTATATACTCTTCTCTTCCTTTTCCACACAAAATTAAAGCTAGTGCAAGAGGGACTGATAGTCCGCAGGTTGAACTATTTGGGTATCACGTGTCGTAGGTACTGAGCTTCACTGTGCTGTCATTCTTTAAGCATGCCCTCTTCACACCATCTTTTCAAAAATTGTCTCAACTAAGCCTTCCCAATTATCCATCCTTCCTATTAGATCACTAAATCAGAAGCAACCATTAAGATCGCTGCAGCAATATTTCTCACGTTCACTCATCTAAGTAACCCAGCATTTGTTGATCTTCCTTCTATTTGAATTGAGGATTACTTATGAATTTACTTATATTATGCTCAAATCTCTTTCATGCTTAACACATTCTCATACTACCTCTGCTTATGGTGGAGCTATTTTTGAGGCTATCATTAATCATCAGAGGGTGATGGAACTCGTGGGGTTGTAAGATTGCCAATAAAAGGACCTAGTGGGGAATAATATCAGAACATCAAGGATGTCGTACTTCATTCAATCTATTGATTTATTACATTACCCACATTGTTATTTAAGGTCATAACGCCCCAAATTTCCTATTCTAGATGAATATTCACTTTGGTATGTAATTTGATAAAGAGCCATTATTATGAATTCAAAAGGGGAAGAAAGTCTATAATACATAGGAGAATAGTGCGTAAGCTGTCCTATTGATAGTTCCTTTTTTCATACCAGACTCTTGACAGAGCAACAAATTGTTACTTTTCGGCAATTGAAGCATCGAAATACGGGGGGGGGGTCAGTAGGTAGTCCAATAGGTCTCGGGGCTTTGGTGGTAGGAAAGAAGCAGAATAGAGGGAATCAAAAAGATTTTTAGCAATTTGGATTCTAAATTCATCAGCCTTTTCTCTCTCTCCATGTCAGGTGTTCCTCATGCATTGCTTGAGCTCAGGTTCCAAAATGCGTTCGGACTTTAATTAATTGAGTGGTTAGTCATAGCGTATCGATAAATTCATCTCCTCTAGCATCTATTGGGGCGCATCGGTGTTCGTGGGGCGAGATGTAAGCCCAGTGTTTGCCCTAAGGATTAATTCAACATCTGACTCGTTGTAGGCAGTTGGATGCCATTGCTTCTCTGTAATAACCTATTGTTGGTCTCAATCGGCATCATTAAATGGAATTCACATGAATTCCAAATAGAACCCAAACAGTTATGAGAATATGTGAATTAAAGAGTAGTTATTATCTCTTGTAATATTGCTGCTATATATTTCGGATAATTGTGTATTCTTTGCATTATTAATTAGAACAATTCCTCCATCCTGACTGTTCGTTAACAATATTTCAGTTATATTAAGAAGAAAATCAGAAAATGATATTCTACAGCTACAAATTTAAGTATATAATACATGAATTTCTCTGCCTGTAAACTGCACTGCGCTCGTAATTAATTATTGCACGCTAATTAGGTTCTCCGCTATTCTGTCGCCCCTTTCTCTAACCGAAAGCGATGATGCTACTAATTCATTCGATGAAAAATAGGACAGTTAAGTTTCAATAAACGAAGTTCCTGTGAATTTCATTGCTTGTTAATTTAAAATCGGCCAAGGCAGTTATACTATTTCATCTACTAAACATTTCACCATAATTATACGCCTTAATTTGAAGTATAATAAGTCCTCCAGCCGTAATGGTATTTCCAAATTGATCTTCGGCACATTTTTTCATCATTTTCCAGAAATAGAGTGGGCTAGTGCCCAAGGGATTGTAGAAGTTCTTTTTTACTGTAAATCTCTCATAGAGCATTTGATTGCTATGCTAACAATAGGGCGCCTTAGTTGCTACGATACCTACTCAGATATTCGTGCTACTATTGTGAAAAAGATCCAATCTCCGTCCCTCATGCACAATTTTATCGATTATTGGACTCTTATACTCACACTTGACAGAATTTAAATAAGAGTTTTTTTTAAATTAGCACTTTTTGCATTATTTAGCACTCCTTTTATAAACTTGAGTCACCGTAACAAATAATAAATCTATAGCTTGACTAGTATTATTAGTACATATTGCTGTTATTGAACGCCTGCAGGGCCACTGAAGTCATTACTGGACTTGTTTGAATGGTCTAGTGCTAGGAGTTCATAATTGCCAATATCGCTTTAGTAGGTCACAATCGGGATGCACCAAAGTCACAACAACCTACATATTTGGATGATATCATATAAAAGTCTCCGGTTAAATCAGATCTTCAGTTAACTCTGCAAGAATTACCCCCAAGAAACTCACATGCCCATGGTCAATTGTGCAAGAACATCTGAAACGCACTCACGCATTTAATAGGATGGGAGTTTGTGTGCCGCCGAATCGACTTTTCCAGCGTAACCAGGATGGGTATCGAAACACGTAAATTCTTTTACACCAATTTGTTATTGGAGTCGAGATGCTGGGTACTCACGGTAATAGTAGCGGGGGAAAGCAATTGTTATCTCTAAATCAAAAACCAATTGTTTCTTGCAAGCTAAATCGGGGTTGATCTTTCGCAAACCTCCTTTTTGGTTTCTGTGGGATGTAAGTGTAATAAGCCTTTGAACACTGCTAAAACCGGGTGAAGCATTTACAGCTGAAGTTAGGAAGACCAATTCTGATGTTAAAAGAAAAGGGACCACGTTTATAGGACACCAAACCGCTCTGCCCCAGCCTCTCTACCCCCCCCCCCCCTCCTCCTACCCCAAATTAAGAATGGCCTCCCACATCCACCATATTCGCCTGACCTCGACCCATTTCATTTTCACTACCTCATGTTCATTGATCATACTCTAAGAGGTAATGAGGACTTTAAAATGCGACTGGAGCGTGCAAAATGGTAATTTTTACCAAAAGCTGTAAGTTATCCATGAAGGTGGCTGTAAGATCTGCTAAAGCACTGGGAAAGGAGTGGAAATGGTGTCGGAAATTATACTCTAGAATATATGTATATATATATATATATATATATATATATATTCGTGCTATTTTTTAAAATGCGCTATTCGTTATTGGCATCACTATTAGAGTTTTATTTTAAAATCACGGTTTTAACTTTTTTAGAAACAACTGCTTAATTTATTAATAAAGATTATTTGTCCTTTTGACCAACTTTTTTCCGTTGGCATCACTTCTCTTTATTGCCAAATTGGCAAGCCCATGTCTTTCTCTATCTTTTCAACTTTGATTAAACAGGAAAGTTTTTGCTATTTTTACCATTTATTCATATGAAATATTAAACAGAGAAGTGAGAAGTGTAAAATGATTCTGTTCCTCTGTCATTCTTGAATTCAAATGTTTTGTGCTTTGATATAAAGGAAAATTCTTCCGCTATCTCTGATTGGTAGTCTAGCGGCTTCCCGGCTGTTCTTACAGTTAAATACAAAATATTTGATATCGTGGTGTTCAGATTATGTTCACTATGAGGCCCAAGAGATAGTATTTTTAATCCCGTCTTAGAGTTTGGACACCACTGATGCTCACGAAACCCCCCTCCACTCCCTTCCTCCTCTCTTTTTTGGAATCTGTAGAAATATTGGCAACAGATTCCACCTCAGTTCAGCTTTTTAGCTCAGATATATCTGAGAATTAGAGGTTATCATTTCGTCATTTTCTTTTTGCACTTTCCAAGTACAATTGAGTTTGACTTGAGATTACCAAATAAGTGTGCTAATTTTGACACCCATTTCTTCAAACCCATCTATCCACATAGATGCAACAATTTATTAACCGTTTATTTTTTTAAATCTCTAGGACAACGTTCTTTGGAAATATGGATCGCTTCCCAGTCAGATTTTGCCACAATGATATTCAAGAAAGTAGGCCCCCACTTATTAGATGTCAATAATGGCTTCTTAAAGAATTGTAGCTAAGAGTCACTTCTTTGTCTTGTCAATAGATAATCTCTTACTATACAAAGACCCTTCCCAACGCGGTTGGTATAGAATTCTGACCATCGACTATGAATATAGTAGCTACAATTTTCGGTACGTTAATTGCTAGTTGGGGCATTTTTGAAGTGAAACTTACTTATTGCTGCATATCTGACGCCTTTCTATTTGACAATAGGTGCATTGATGTGGGAAACTTTTTCAACGAATGGACCTATGATAACACTTATCCTCATGCTCCAGGATTTGCCTATTATCCCGATGCTTATCCCTCTCGAGAAGAACAGGTTATTGGCTCGATTTCGTCGATACATTTCCCAGTTATAAGTTTCCAATTTCTTTCATTATGGGCTAATACTTTATATTATGCATAAACAGAAAGTTTGATAGCCATCATTATTACAAGAGGAGGTCGTGTGTCTTATGAATTTTAATTTAGGTTAACTAGGCCGATTTTTAACGACGTCAAGCTTCACCTTTGGTGATGGCATTTAATTAAACATAGTCCGTCAACAGTTGTCTAAAAAATGGATTACTGAAAGTGAAGAAGCATGGGTCTCGATTTGCTCTACCTCTGTCTTGGATCACCCTCATAACCTCATGCGAGTTAATAATTCATTCGTTATCACATTGCGCGTTAGCTATGTTTTCAGCTGGCTTGCCTTGTTGCCAGCGCTTGGCTTGCGTTCTCACTTCTCCAATCAAAAAGTGAATTAATTTTGGCAAGTCATTTTCTATCCGACGAAAACTTTATTACTTAAAAGAAGACTCACTTTTTTGTGTTTACATTTTTCTCGCTTCGAGATATTTGTGGGTGCTACAACCTCGGTGGGATTAAAATTGCCACCCTCAAATAATGCACTTTATAAAACAACTCGTATGCAGTACTGCACTGATTTCTACTTGAAAGTACTCCTCACAACTGGATAGTGGTTCTCCAATCTCGGCAGTAATTGAGTGATTTACTTTTGTGTACATTTATATTAAAAGAGAGAGAGAGAGAGTCAATGCATGCTAATAAACTTGGCATGAACACTCCAGTGGTAAAGAGAGTGTGGTTTAAGGGTTGGGAGATTAGTTGTTATGGACTTACCATACTTTTATTGTTGCGTGTGTGTGTGTGTGTGCGGACTTTCTCTCTCTCGTTCTCTTTGATCTATTCCGCGAAAGCTGATTTTGGAGTTTAATAAATAGTTGAATTTTGATGATACTAAATATGTCCACAATAAAATTTCAATTTCGTAGCATTAGCATATGATTGCAAAAACATCAAATGGTACTGGTCGAATTTTTTACAGCGATTATTCCAAGGAATAGGAATAGTCTAATTAAATCTCTTACCTAAATTGGCTAAGTAGACAAATTAAATGCAACTTGAATTCACTAAATTAGTGAAAACTTTGACAAGCGTATCGCCTTTAAACTTCAGCGTTCTTTTTGGTTAATCGAATAGGTTATGGGAATGTTTTTATTAAACATATAATTTCCTAAATTCCCATATCGTTTGTTCTGTAGAAAATTTTAGGGTTTGCGGGAGCTATAAAGTTCTACATAGAGAAGCGACTTGTCGCCTCTAGGAGAGTTGGAGTAAATGCGTACATATATGCCTTTATTAAACATAGAATGCACTGAGTGAATAAATAAACAAAATTGAATGCCACGCGAAATTTGGATTATGGTGCTCTATTCGAGATGTTTTAAGTCGTCTTATAATTAAAGTAGTAAAATTTATTTTATTTATATCAAATGGCAGGCGTCTTGATGGTTATCATTAGCCCTTTAGTTGACTTCAGTCTTCACATAGGGGAAGGAACATCAAAGTGGGAAAAAAAGTCGAGAGGGGGGGGGGGGAACAGAAGAGTGCTTCAAAGACGAAGGTAGAAAAGGTGAGGTGAGTACTGTGAAATTGTCGAATATGACATACAATGGGGTGAGGGTAGTTTGAAGCGAGAAGTCAACTGCCAGTTAATAGACTTTTTTGCCGTATGAATAAACGTTGCCCAGGGTGCACCACGTGGAGGTAAGTCTATCGCACACCCCAAGTAGTAAAAGTAATGAGTGAAATTTTTGTACTGTTTCTAATGTCGCCTCCAAGGAGCTGCTTTAGGAATTAATGCCTCTTATCGGCTCCATGTAATAATTTGTTTATTTAAATTAATTGCTCGTATATATTTGACAAATAGATGTACCGATCTCTCTAGCAAGTAGAGTAGTTTCTTGACACTGTTCTTTTCACGATCTTTTCACCCCCCCCCCCCCCCGTAGTAGCGTCGAAAGGTATGTATAGTGCTACTATCACACTTTATGTGTGAGTAATTATTTTTCTTTTAAGGTTATGTGGTTTCACTTTTTATATATCTGCCACAAATCGTAAGTTGGTAGAGTAATTAGTAGTATTGAACTACTGAACGTATCATTCTTTCCATTTCTGCTTCACATTGTTTTTACTGCTTCCTTATGGTTTTATAATCGGTTTATTTAGCCTAAAATTTGACTGTGTATTGCTATCAGTTTTAAAATGCTTTCCCAAAGTGTATAGGGAAATATACGGCATCATCCATCGAATTTCATATGTAATTGTCTTACAATAGAAATGAAAGGTGCATATACTCCCACCTACCTGAAGTACAATTAATAAAATGGGATTTTCTGTCTATATTTGATTCTTTAAAATAAAATCTAGTGGCTTTCTGTTTAATTAGCAACTAACTCTTCAAGTCTTGTGAGTTTGTCCCCATTGCCTATAACATCTTTCCTCACCGACTGTCTCGACTCTAGCGACTCGATCGCAGACACCGATTGTTACTCAACGACATCATTTTTTTCTTTTCTTAAGAAATCATATTTAAGTTGAAATAGAAGTGCTCCAATAATACTTAGGTTTCATTCCCAGGAACGAGAGTGGAGACCTATTATTCGATGATTAAATACTCGAGTAATGAAGCCTTTGGGTTTCATTAAATTGCATTATTGAAATTCGATAAAGTTTTCTATTGAATGCATGTGATGCCATCCAACATAAACACTCCGTATTATCTCAAGAGAGGATGTAACCTACTGTTGCTTAGAATTCCAAGAGAAGGAGGTAAACATGTTTTTTTATTGAAATATAATGTGACAATTTTGTCAAACAATTGATTTCTTATGAAAGAAGAGGGTTGCTTTGGAAGTGTTATTGATCAGTCTGTAATAATGGTAACAAGGTTAATATGTTCATTTTTTCATAGTTGTAGGGGGAAATTTATGACCTCACAAAAGTGCCACTAGTCTGATTATCACTGTGCAAAGCAAAGAAAATTCATGATGTCTCCTCGTGGCCTATCTTCGATGCGTGCGATTAAAATAAGAATGTCTTTCTTCTCATTTGAGATTCTTTTAAATTAATAATATCAAATGGCAGGCTTTATGATAGTTATCATTAGCCCTTTGGTTGACTTCGAGCTTCACAGAGGCGAGGAACATCAATGGCACAAAAAGTCAAGAGGGTGGGGGGGGGGGGGGGGGGGGGGTTGGGAGAACAGAAAATCGTTTCATAGACATAAGAGACAGACACAAAGATATAGAAGGAGGTAAGTCAAGGTGGGTACTGTGAGAATGGTAGAATATGATGCACAGTCGGGTCATGGTAGTTCAAAGTGAGAAGTCAACTGTCGGTTAATAGACTTTTTTGCCGCATGAGTATACGTTGCCCAGGGTGCACCACGTGGAGGTAAGTCTATCGCACACCCCAGATTCTTTTAAATTTAAATCCGACACTTTTCTTTAAATTAGCTCAAACTATCCCAAAAAAGTATTTATCTCATTATGATAAATATATTATTTTGATGTTAAGGGCGTCAATTTTGGCGAATTCTTTTGCTTTTTATAATATGAAATGTCCTTTTTTCTATCAAATGGCTTAAGTAGAATTGATTATAGAAATTTTTAATAGCCAAAATGCCAATAACTGCGAAAAACAAATTAGCAATCTCTGCGACTCTCCCAGTGCAACGGGTCTTTACATTCCACCGTTTCCTCTCTTTCTTTCTCTCTCTCTCTCTCTCTCGCCAAGAAGTGTTAACTTGTGGACTCTACATTTACCTCTTCAAGTCTTATCATTGATTCGAACTTTAACTGCTCATTTTGGATCTTCGACCAAAGATCGCCAAATTTGCTTGCTTATTTAGCTAGTAATATTGTTAATATTTTATATGTAAAACTGAAAGCAAGTGTGTTTATGAAAGGAATTTTGAAAGATGATAATGGTATTATTAGGTAATTATTTCTTGGGTTTAGTTTTTTTGCAGTTCGAGACTTGCCCATTTTGATTAATACAAATAGTTGAACTGTTAGCACGCTACTTAAAAGTCATTGTCTGGTTAATAAATTCTTCATTTAGTTACTGCTTTCCGAGCATCATAGTGAGCCAATAACCCGAAGTTTCACCTCGACTAATCCTCGGGAGATCTTTGTGAGGAGTACTTTTGCATCAATCATAGATTCCTTTTTTTAGTCCATTGTTTTATGAAAGCGTTTAAAGTTCTATAATTAAGTAAAAATATGCATTTTCCTTCTATTGTAATATACTTTTCTTTTGTAAACGCTTTTCTAGTGTATGTGTGTGTAAGTGTTTGTTTGTAGCTTTACTTGGCGTCTGTAGTTAGCCTGGGCATTACCATGGTAGATCCAATTCTATGCTAGAGTAATTGGAACAGGAAAGCCATAGAAAAGAAGAGTTTAGTTCTCCTTTTTACGGTTCATAAAATCTCTTTATTTATGCTAATGGAGCTCAATGCAGGCCTGCTAGCGGCTTTGGAGGTATGCCAAACTTGCAGTTCGGTTTCTTGTTCCCTTTTATCTACATTCGCTCATCCATCAGCTAGGCCATTTAAACGCTCTCATAAACCAAATTTAAACCACGTGTTCAAGCAAGATATAGTGGAATTATTCATAACTGTATTTAATTCGAAAGTATCTCATTTATTTAACTTGGCTAAGTTAAAGTTGATAACAAGATTTTAATTTCAATAGAGATTAGAAAGTGTGAAAATGTATGATTTCTGTCCTGAAAAGTGAAAAGATTGTTTCTTTGATCATGAGTGTTTCAATATCGTTAAGATCTTATCAACGCAAAATTGATCAAATGTAGCTCAAAATTGTTAGTTTTATTTTTTTAAGAAGTTTGACCAATACATTTCAACCTAACTAATCCGAATACTTTTTGTTAGCAGATGAAAGCATATGTTTTCAATCAAACAAATTTAAATGGTCATTTTTATGCCCTCTTAATCTCCCAGAGTCAATGAACCATTAGATAGTAGCAGGTAAGATTCCCAACAAGTGCATATCAAATAATCTAGCACCTACTTAATAACACAATCGAATTCGTGGAATGTAAATCGTGTCACATGTTTATATGCAATCTTTGTGGCCAGAAGTCGCGAGGTTGATGTCGTTCAATGTACACGTAGTGAACAACTTAGCTAATTAAAGGGACGTAATGGTACCTTTTCTCTACAAATGAAGTGTGTTGGAAAATGCGTTCCAAAATGGCCTTGGGGGTTATTTAGTAGGTATACTAACTCCATATAATAATGAATAGCGGGCTATTTGATTTAGTAGAGGTTTACTTGTTTGGTATATCTTTACGCTATTATCTTACAGTTGGCTTTTTGGCGCAAATACCTCACAGTCTACCAGTTCGCGGAATGTGCAGGTCGAATTCCAGGTACCTACATCCAGCACAGTCGGAGAGTCCACTCGCAAAGTGTGTGCACCCAATCAAAAATGGAGATTGTTAAATTGCTGCGTTCTCCACCTTCGGCACCAATCTTCAACGAGAACAGTGAAATCGGTGACTGTGATGCTTGTAATACGACAACTAATTACTGCGATGAGGACCCCGCTTTGAGGTGCCTCTCTGACCTCGAAGAAGTCCGTGAACTTGAGGAGGTGACCTTGACCCCAGAACAAGAAGAGGCTCTTACTTTGGAGTCCACTTATGGTGCCCTATTCTCACATATCTGGTGGGCTGTTTGGGCCCTAATTCAAGCACAAATCTCCAGTTTCGAGTTTGGATTTATTGTTAGTATCTTCCATTTTTCATCTGCTTGCTAGTTTTTTTGTAAGATCTTTGCACTATTAACTGGAGTTCTAGTTTAAAAAGGGACTCTTATATGCCATTATCTAAATATGTAGGTCGTGGTACATGGTTTAGGCTCCTTTTCAACGATTGTGTTCTACTAAGGCGATTTTCGCAAGTTTGATGGCATATAAGCACAAGGCCATTTGATTAAGTCCAGTAATAGCCTCAATGGCCTTGCATGCGTTCAGCAATTTGTTTATTAAGGTAAGCGCTTAGAGACTTATCTCCTTCACTATGTTTAGATACAAACTGAACTCAAATGCCTGTTTGCGAAGTGCCATATTTCCTAATGGTTACACTAATGGAATAATTCTATTAACTAAGACCCAACAACTTGGGGTTCATCAATCACGGGATTGGAAAACTTACCATGCGGCAATTCGTCCAGGGCTTCTGACGATTTTGTCCCCAACTAAATAGGATGGAAATAGATTCGTTGTCTGTTTACGTAGGTTCAGTACGTAAATTTCACAATTAATTACCTGTCAAGAATGGTAAGTCATTAACTGACATCTTGTTTAGTATACTTAGCTTTTCACTAATTGGCGACGCTGGAACTTTGGGTTGAATGTTTTTTCTTATCATCTTTATGTTGGGTATTTCTAATAAAGATATGAAGAGTGAGGGACGCACTCAATGGTGACATTAGCAGTCGTTTCCTTGTAGTTAGCTTAAAATGCTTAGTTTATAAACTGACTTCTTTTTAATACATTAAAAATGATAAAGCAAAGTAGATGCGTTCAATTTCCTCTGCAGTTTCAATTTTATTACTTACTTCATAATTGTTACTTTGACTGTTTGAAACTGGCTATCTTTCAAGTATAAATCAATAAATTTTTTGCTTTATTGAGAGTTGGGCCAGGAAAAAGAGACCACCTTTTGGTCATTAACTTATCGATTATCGCAATATTTGCAATTTCTCACTAAATTGTGGACCACCACGAGGTATTACTTAGCTTTCGCATTCTTTTTACCCCATAGGAATACGCCGAATCTAGGATGACGGCTTACTATAACCTAAAGAAGACTCTTCCAGCCTCAGAATTTCCTAACCATGAAAACCCAAGTCCAGACATTCCAAGTCTTCGAAAAACCAGCGAGCAGTTATTCACCATGGATCCAGTCTCTAGAGTCTACAAAAACGGTGAAAATAAAATGTCATCTTCAAGTTTCTATATAGAAGAAGGCGATGTTGATTAATAAGCAAAGAGAACAAAAATGTTCTGCCTATCATTTTACCATCCCATTGACCACCTCCTTTTGATTTTGCTTGTTGAAACATTGTCCAGTCTCTATTTGCTTATATACTGCTTTCGTACTTTCTGTCATTCTTGTGCCTAGGTTTTGTCACTCCTCTGCCACACAAGTACTGGTACCTTACTGTTTGTGTCTCTCCTCAGTTTCTGTATGTGTGCGCGCGCGTTTATTTGAGCTTATGTGTGGCGCACACATATTATGTATTTTTATTAGAGGGTATTCGTACTTTTTTGCAATTACGGGTGACTTGGTCATCTTTACCAAATATTGTGCTTCTGGTGGCTAAATACCCTCTTGAATGCTATATGTACGCCTATTTGGGCGTGTCAACTTGGCCGGAATTTAACTTCAAAGTATTCATATTTGAGTGAAATTGAACAAAGCTTTGCGAGCACGTTAAATGATGATAATACTTGCGCAGAAAGTAAGAAACCGCTCATCTTCCGAGGAACTAGTTTCGCTATCTCTCCCGTTGATTATAACTAATCAATATTGTACGCTAATGAGAGTCGACTTCGTGACCTCTGATTTAGCAGATGTGCCAACTTACTGTTTGTATAATGCAAGTTCAACACTGATTGCTTCAAATCATGCCACTGAAAGCTGGAAATATGTCTATGAAGTCTGAAGCAACAAATAGAAAAGATACCCTAGGAAGCATCTAAACTGTGGGCATTTAGGGTCTAAATAAGTTCCACTGTGCGATGGTAACGCAGTGGTTAAAGTGTTCACCTGCAAGAACAGAAGTTTAATGCTCGTCGGTGAGTGGAGTGGCCAACCTCACTGGTCAATGTAGTCTAGCACAATTCGAGTTTCTCAACATGATCCAAACCAAATTCGAGGGATGGAAAACGATTTTTAGGTTGGCCTTAGAAACACTATCGTTAATAAGCTTCAAGAAAGCACAATTGCACTTAGGTGGTAAGCAGAGACCAAGTGGGAGACTAGCATGATCTCTTAATAAAATGGTGATAAATAATATCTGTAAAGTAGCCAAATTGAATAACTATTTCTCCTAATTTTACAGAGCTCATCATTTAGAATTCTTAAGTATGAAGGCAATACATCTTCTCTATCCATTTATGCCAGTACATGCCACTGGCACACCCGAGTATGGAAAAGGGATGGTAAATAATTGAGTTGAGCGAGACTACGAAATCTCGCATTCCAACTTTGAATCCACATATTTTGAGAACGGCTGGAGGCATGTAGGCCAATAAACGTAAGGAGATGTCCACAACCGGAATGGCCATCATTGCCAATCCGATGAACAATTACTCCCTTGGAAGTATTAGCAGTAGAATATCAAAAATGGACTACTAGGACTATATTGGTAAAAACTACTCAATGTCGATATCAGTTAAGGAGATTAAAACATCTTTTGAGAAATTAGAGAGAGCCGAGTAACAGCTAGTCTGCTATGAAGACGTACCAAATATTAATACACAAAGCCACGCAGTTTGAATTGTCAGGGTTAACTACAATGTATTTTCACAACTCGTTACCTCCCTATTCATCTTCGCAAAGTCCAATATAAGTCGAAAATATTCTAAGACAATTTTTATTTCAAATATAGTTTTAGGTAAATAAAATAGAATTAGTAAAATGTAATAGCACAAAAGGTAAAAAACCTGAGATTTCTAAGGCAATTTTCGGAATTTAACTACTTAAATTCCAATTCTAATAACCCAGAATTTCGCGTATAGTAGGCTATTCCTTCATCCATGAGTTGTCTAATCACTGCATTCTGCAGAACCCCGCTTCCGATTCCTGGAATAATCACAAGTTTGCGTGGTCTGTATTTTGGTTCCAGTGTGAATTGTCCGTTCGGTGCCACATCAGGGGGAACAGTAAGATCAGATGGCAGTGGTGTATATGGAAGAACCTGCCCCCTCCTACAGATACTGAGCCGCTGTCTGAGTGCAGTCAGTGCACCGATTCTGGAGGCTTTGTGGAGATTAAGGCAACTGAACCATGTTCGTATACGCCATGCTGGGTCATCCTGGAACCGGCTATCCTTTGAGAGAGCTTCTTCCAAATGCCTCTGGGAGTAGATAGATACTAAAAGACCTGCGATTAATTCTTCTTGGACGCGAACGTCGTGTTTAGTTCTCTTAAGCTAAAGACAGCAAATCATATGGGATGAGATAAGCATTTACCAGTGATCAAAATTCGTTGCAGTTCTGTGTGCACATATATCTCACGCAAATCATTCCCCTTAGTTTCGATTATGTTCATGGGGATTAAATAAACAAAATTATAACACACAAATTGTAAATATATGCTGTTTTGGTAAGGCATTCGGTGTGTGGTGTAATCAAGTCAGTTGTAAGGACTAAAAAACGACTTATTGTTTGCTATACCCCACAAACACCTCCTCCCCCCCCCCCACACGAATATGACTGTCAAGAGTGTACAACCTTGAATGCATGACAGAGGGAATTGAGATTCGGCTTTTTGCGGACTATGTGAGAAGCTAAAACGTTATAAACTGTGATATAATCATTGAACACATCTTTCCTCCACTTATTAGACTTTCGAATGCAATAATAAAAGCTAACACAACAATATTTCAGTTTGCTCAGATTTCTCTCAAGATTTATTGATAGAAAATTGTTGGATAAAAGTCCGGGTGCATAGACACCAGCAGTACATTGTGAAATGGGAGTGTAGAGATAATTTTGAAGATTTTGAGCCTGGAAAACCAGTGACTTCCCTAGAGTTTAAATGGCTATTATGAACTATATAAATGGAATATCGCCTGAGAGGTTTACATTTCAAGAACCTCTAATGATGACAGTAGAGCTCCTTTAGGAGTCTGACAAAGTTAGGCTTGGGGCTGTCGCCTAACAACATTCATGACATTAAAGGCTAAAATAATGATACTCCGGCCTTCTTAGGAATAAAAATTATTTCGGAAATGTGTCTGTCCAATGTCAATCTGAAAAACGTGGTGAAAGGAGAGGAAAGAAGGGTGGATTAGGAATCGGAACGGGTGGAACCGGGTTTTAAAAGTGCAAATTTAGCTTTGTTGGGGAAATTGTGCGATTTTGAAGCTCCTGTTCGTTGAAGAGCGGCCGATAAATAAATTTTCGATTGAAAAATAAGTCAGACAAAGGTATTAGTCACTGTGAACGCATAGCCCACTCATATTGTGTATTCCACAAACTAGTTCTTACCTCTTCATGAGACAAAAGAGTACATCTGGAATTGCATCAGTATATTAATTTGGCACTGCAGATTTTTGTGCCCCCATTATGAAGTGGAATTGCTTTTACGCTGTTCCGTCTAAGACTAAAATATACGCATATTTATACATAGTATAGCACCTTGAAATGTCGTATAAGTAAGAATATATTTCCAGCCATTGCGTATTAAATCTGCTTTGTACAACTCCTACCAAATAACTCCCTAATACAATAGTCAAGTTACAAAAACACATGATGATATTTTATGCACGCAGTGAAACAGGCAATAACACCTCAGCACAAACAAATGAGTGATTATTTGGTCAAGGTGACTCAAATGACAACCTATAATTAAACGATTCATTTCTATTAAAATAAATAATGAGGCACATGCATTCTTGAAAACAGTACCTCCATTTATTTTCATCAGAATTCAAGAATTAAGAACAAACGGGGTTCCATGAAAAATGTATAAGAATGAGAAGCTGACGGCAGTGGAATATGCCAGACGGTACTGATGACTCACCTTAACGACATATCAAGCGTGTGATTTTTATGAGCGAGAAGTTTAATTAATTTGGGCACTTACATGAAGACTGACCGCTCATTTTCAAAATGTAAAAACGATCTGAAAGTAGCATCTGAGTGGGGAATAAGGACAAACAACCATCGACATTGGCTCACCATTGCACCTACTCAATGGATGTATCAAATTCCTCTTTTGACTTTCAAATGACTGAGAGTGATTACGCAGCTATGGAATGAACCTTAGTCTATCCGACTGCCGGTTGGCAAATTAAAATTATTGACACACCAATTCACCACAGTTGAGTAATTAAAAATAAAAAGGGTTAAATGTTAATGCGAATTAGGTGCTTACAAAATGCTTACTTTTAACTGAGATGAATATTCTGAATGCTTAGGAGAAGGCAATTAATATACTAAATTGTCTAAACACATGTTGCCTATAGAGCTACAAACACTTTAGAGTCTTTGAAAGAAAATGGAATATTAGACGTCAAGATCACAAACGAAAAATTAAATGGATCTGTGTGTATTTAAATGCACGCTTTCAAAAGGCAGGTGTGTAAATAGATAAATAATGTTTTTCCTTGATAATATTAACGTTCTTAGGACCATGCGGTCCTCTTTCAAAATAAGCTCCGTTAGTACTAGACTCGTAACAGAAGCGGCGCTATTGGCGTTTGAAACATGTTCAATACGTGTCTATTGCCTTCGCCTGTTACCTTCAAAACTCATCACATCGGCGGCATCAGTCTACACTGAAACACGCGTGAGTGCAGTTGGATTCATGTTTCATAAACTAATTCGGGAGTTCAAGGGTTAAAGTTAAAACCTTTTTAGAATTCATCCTCACTTCTCTCCCAGTAATATTTTAGCTGAAATTACATTAATGACCCTTTAAAATTGCCTGCAAATAAGAATTAAGTAATTAACTAGTTATTTTCAAAAATACGAATTCCCATTAGAATGGCTTTTAAGTCTATTGGGAAAAAAACGAGGCCTAACCACCTAAAATAAATCCAAATAAGAGAAGACACTGAGAGTGCGGGGTATGCCACTAATTTTTGCACTTCATTACACAGCCCACGCTCAAAATGCCTAATGTCACTTGCCATTCTACTAATTAGTGTTAATATTACTTTATTGTTCTCGCAAACCTACTGATAATTTTTTGGAAATTAGATCGCGGTTGTTTTAATATACACGTATTATAGATTTGTGCTTCTGTTAATATCGAAGAGACCAGATATGGAATACGTCGTTGGGAGTAAGAATGATTATTCGCATGGATAATAAGGATAGATAAACACAATGTTACCTAGGCTTCTAAAACGTTCTTCATCCTAAGAGCTAAACATCAAAGCCGTTCTACACAGATAGTGCCTTAGAATAGAGAATATAATTATATAAGCTTAGAAGCTATAACCACAAACACCTTTATATCAAAGAAATTAAATTTAAATCAAGCCTAAATCCAATAATCGTACCAAGCCCATCCGTGTAGGGTTGAAATTTGAGGGGAGAGCCAAGTGGGTGTGCGATAGACTTACCTCCACGTGGTGCACCCTGGAAATATGCCTTCACTATCAACATCTTATTTGGAAGCGGAGGGGTGTGTGCGATAGACTTACCTCCACGTGGTGCACCCTGGACAGCGTGCGATAGACTTACCTCCACGTGGTGCACCCTGGGCAACTTTCAACCCTTGCTGGTTTTCTAAACAATTATTCTTAAGAATACGATAGACTTACCTCCACGTGGTGCACCCTGGACAACGTACTTTCAAATGGCAGGCGTTATGATAGGTATCATGGGGTGTGCAATAGACTTATAAACTTACCTCCACGTGGTGCAGCCTGGGCAACGTATACCCCTCCACGTGGTGCACCCTGGCCAACGTATAATCATACGGTCTTACCTCCACGTGGCGCACCCTGGGCAATGTATACTACACCTTACCTCCACGTGGTGCACCCTGGGCAACGTATTCTCATTCGGCTACCTCCACGTGGTGCACCCTGGGCAATGTATACTCATACACCTCCACGTGGTGCACCCTGGGCAACGTATACTCACGATAGACTTACCTCCAGGTGGTGCACCCTGGACAACGTATACTCAAACGGCACCTCCACGTGGTGCACCCTGGGCAACGTATGCTCACTTCAAACTACTAAATCTATTAACTGGCAGTTGACTTCTGACTTCAAACTATGCAAAATTACATTTACCGACAGTTGACTTCTGACTTCAAACTGCCACTTTATTATTCGGCAGTTGACTTCTGACTTCAAACTACCAAAAGTCTATTAACTGGCAGTTGACTTCTCACTTCAAACTGCCATCACCCAACTTCAAACTGCCCACGTGGTGCACCCTGGGCAACGTATATTCATACGGCAAAAACGTGGTGCACCCTGGGCAACGCATACTCATACGGCAAAATGTGGTGCACCCTGGGAAACGTATACTCATACGGCAAAAAAGTCTATTAATCGGCAGTTGACTTCTGACTTCAAACTACCATGACCCGACTCTATGTCATATTCGATCCCTTCCACAATACTCCTCTTACATTTTCTCTGCCTTGGTGTTTGTCACTTTTAAATCTGTGAATCTCTCTTCTGTTCCCCCAATCAACTTTTGTGACTTTGCCTGTTCCTCCCCTCCGTGAAGCCCGAAGTCAACTAAAGGGCTAATGATAAATACCAAAACGCCTGCCATTTGATATAAATAAATAAACTTACCAAACTCGCATAGTGGGCCTTCGCTTCACCACGGGCCATACTAAATCCGTGCGCATGATTTCTCTTCAGCGCAACCAGTCTACTGAGTTCCTTCTCCTGCGCAGCCAATACGCTTTGAGCCTCTTCGGGGGTATATGGAAACAACTCTGGTCTTTCAGTTGCCTCATTCAATTGAACTATTTCAGTGGATGATGATGATCCCTGTTGCGGATAATGACCTTGGGTTCCAAGGTAACTTCGCACACCTTCAGCACTTCTGTATAAAATAAATAAAAGGAAAAATTAAATGTTATACAGGGAGCAGGTGCAGAGACGTCAACCAAAAGATACTGACATTAATATAAGAATACAGCTCCCAAAATAGCACACCTAGACATGTGACTTAGAAACAAAATCAGTTAGCACTAATCCTGATCGGCCAATAATGGCTTGGAGAACACGCATGGACATGAGCGTAATTAATTTTGAGTCAATAAATTGGGGTGAAGCCCTAGTTCTACTTTCATACTACCCGTGTGCTGTGATCTGCTCTTCACTGCTGGACATCTTAACCCAAGCTTGAGATGCTTTGAAAACTGCGCTTGGTACAAATAGAAACCGAAAAATGGAAACGATTTATATCACCATCTCAAAATGAGATGGAAGTATTCATACCGATAGGTCAATTTATAATACGCGCCATTGACAACTGCAAAGTTAATTAATTTGAGCTTTAATGAAAGGGAAACAGGTATAGGATTCATTTTGGGGCAAGTATTATTTTCTTATCTGAAGAACCTTGTAAGCTAATGGCACATTGATAATAAGGAACTGGAAGTCGGATAAGTTAGCAATTTCGACAAATAGCATAGAAGCACTTGCTAGCACACAGAGACAAATGTGAACCGATGTGAAGGTAAATGGCAGATGTGTACTCGAATATGGTTCCATACTGTAGGACCGACGAGATGCTCTATTTAGTGAATATTTACTTAAACCACGTGCCTTACCAATGAATTATTGCAACCGTGTAGAGATTATCCACATAACAAATGATCATAAAATAATAAGCGCTTTGTCGGAAGACCAGTTTAATAAGATAGAGCACGTGCCTGTGATACTGCAAAAGTTTTTCAAGAAAAGATTCACTGAAGCTTGGGAATTCTCGAGCCAGGGTTGAGAGGCTTGCTTTGTTAGCGTACGACCTTTTGTTCTATAGAGGAAGGAAAAGCAAATGATTCCTAATTTTTTGAGGCATAACGTAAATAGACAAGTGAACCTCAAACGAAATAACCATAGAGAAACCGACAACTTTAACTCCACACCCAGCAAATATCCCCACCCCACCCC